CCAAGATTAATTGGGAAAAGAAAGAAGAAAAAAGAAAAATAAAAACTTAGTATAATAGAGAGGTTGTTTTGTTTCTTAAGAGATTAAGTGAGAAACAAATAAAGCTTGGGATGGACAAACTATTTGTCAAGTCTATTAGTTGATTTTTGACAAATTAAATGCTTTCAATTGATCCTAAAATCTCATTTTAAGTATATTTAATATCAAATTAGTTGGTTTTGACAATCTTATTTGGAACATTTTTATTGGTCAAAGACCAATTATTAGGATTGTTAACCGACTGCAAAAAACTTTCTCTGATAAAGAGGCTACACAAAAGATCAAATGCTAATTTGCCTAATCAATCCTACTGATTAATCCACCTGAACAAAATTAGTTTTTATGGTTTTAACTCTTAACCCACCAGACACCTTAACAAATTGAAGTTCACCTAACTAAAAACCGAACGAAATTCAGTTCTAGATTTGGTTATTCAATTTTTTGAAAACTTGCATGGTAAAAAAATGTTGGGTGTGGCTAATGGATGTCCTGAGAACACACATTAAGTAGGGTGTCATGTATTAATTTTTTTAGCAAAAGTCCAATTAATTTAGAAACTAATCCCCAAGTCTCACCCTTCCTAATTTTCTCTTTCTTCTTCTTCTCCTTTTCTTTCTTATGTTTAGATTCGTTTTTCCTCCTTCTCATTCCTATTGTTATATAAAAAATGCGCTAGTAACGTGCTAGAGAGTTTACTTTTATGGTTAAGTGCATAGTGCTATTTTCTTACAGAAAAAATTAATTATCATAAGTTATCATAAAAAATTAAAAGGCATATACTTTATTTAAAAATTTCGTATTATGCATTAATTGTTAATTAAATGTTGTTGTGCATCAATTGTTAATGAAAATTGAAATTCCATAAGATATGAGATTAAGTTTTTGTACATCGTTAGTAAAAGTATGCGACCTGTTTAAAAACTAAATTTCAAATTTGAAATTAGATAACGTAATATTCGTTGAACACCGCTCATGCATATATTAACAGTGTATAAAAAATTATCATAAAATATGTTTTTTAACATTATACTCTTTATTATATCATAATTTATGATGATTAAATCATTCCAAGCTAGATTGGCTTTGTCATATTGTCTAATTCAAACGTCCACCATGCAAAAACTGTTGCCTTTTTTTTTTATTGAGACGATAAAAGGTAGATCAAAGGGGTGCTCTGGCACCACCCTTGAATTTTTTTCGCTGCAGGTGGAATTTGAACCCTCACTTACAACCCAAGAAGGGACTTAAGTCCCACTTGGTGGCCACTGAGCCAAGCTAAGTGATTATGTGAAAACTGTTGTTGCTATAGAATTTTCCTGAAAAAAGGACCACAGGCCTGGCTCCAGTTCTGAAGGACCCTCTCATCCTGCATTAATCGTGAAATTGCTAAATCCAATCATCACTTTTCATTCAAAAAGAGCTTTTGGATCTCCTTTATCCTTTGCTGGTTTTTTGTCCTTTAGGAGAAATAAGGACATCCAGAATCTATAGGACCATAATGAAAAGAATGAAACGAAAATTAATTTTATTTAACAGCTAGAAAAATGCCGTGTGAATCTTATTGCACTAAGGGTGCATTTGATAAAACTGAAGTTTGAAAACTAAAATCTGAAATTTGAAATTTGAAATCTGAAGTCTGAATCCATTAAATTATTGAATTGTTAAGTATTAAATCTAATACATTTGAATGTATATCACATTCAGTGATAAGTGAATAGCTTATCACTTAATTTTAAGAGCAAGTTTTGCCCAAAAAATTTAGTGCTACTTAATTAATTCAAAATATTCAATTTTTTGTTATCAAACGGTTTGAATATGTTAATTTTATAAGATTTTGAAGAGAGAGGAAAATTTGTGTACACAATCCAACCTTAATACAAATATTAGACATGTTATTTGTTGGTCAATTACAGATGGTCAAGCATTCTACTCAAAAATTGTCAATTGTAAGATTTGATTAACGACTAGATAATCAGTCAAGTATTGGTAAAAAACTAATCTCGCATTCAAGCAGGACTTGACGATCCACTAAACTTTTTTTGTTTTAGATAAATTATTGCTCTATAGTGAGAATGAATAAACTTAAAAGCATCTAAACTTTGTAAACATACCTTTAAAAGTGTTTTGGAGTTTTCATGTTATCAACTAGTATATGATTATATATTTTAGGCAAATCCTATATTAAGCGACATACAACTAAAACGATAGAAATAAATTAAAGAATGACCTATTTCCTTGATTTTAGAAATTTCCATGCTCGCATCTATCATTTAAAAATATTGTGATTTAAAGTCGCTTTTTGTAGGTACAATCTATATTTTATATACAAGAATCGAGGAAAAATGGGGAGCAGTTGAGTACACTCGTATATTGGCCAGGCCAGGAAATCTGAACTAGTCAGTTCGAGGAGAGTGCTGGTTATTGATTTGCCTAAATTGCAGGATGAGAAGCAATATTGACCTTTTTATAATAGTGAAGATGAATATTCATCATGCATAATGTTAATGTATATTGTAATAATTTGAGCGGCTAAATGGCAGAAAAACAGGTTAGGTTGAGATTTTGACCAATTGAAAGTCTGAATTCACAAAAAGCTGGGCTGGGATCCAAAATTCGGTAACTTTTGAAAGCAGCCAGTGATCTGGCCGATCAACGGTATTACTCTACCTATGATCATACAATTTACTTGACAAAGAAGTATCAACGAGAAATAAGAAAAAGCCAATTTAGAGCATCATCCGGAGATTCAATAATCCCATTCTAGGGTTCTTTCTATTTATGGGAGGATACAAAATTGAATAACTAATTCTATTTAGTTGTATTTTATACATGGGTTAGTACATCCCACTTAACCAAATTAATCGCTTATATGAGGGATAAAATAATCCTATGAGGGCGGATGGTATGAGTTATCTTGCAATAAGTAAGAGATGGGACGATAACAATTTTGGACTTATATACCCTTACTAATAGAATACTATTTTATTTTAACAACAATATAAACCTACCCTCTAGCTATAATATTATCGAAGTTTTGGACTAATTTGCCCGTATGGATGAATTTACCCCTACTAATAAAAAAATTAAAATTTCGAGTAATTTACCCAAATTAATGATATAACTTAATTTTGGATTGATTTGCCTGCACTATTAACAAAATTGAAATGTTTACTCATTTGCCCATATGAATGAATTTTGAACAAATTTGGCCCTACTAATAAAAAAAAAAGTCAATGTTTCGGTCTAGTTTGTCCATTTAATGAAATAACTAAATTTTGAACTAATTTACCCCTATTATGAATAAAATCAATTTTTTGACTAATTTGCCCATAATAAAAATTTTAGACTATTTTACCCCTACTAAAATAAGTATGACTTTTACTAGTTATTTATATAACCATACTTTCTTGGTCAATTTTAATACATAAAAGGTAAGACATGTCAATTGAGACTTGTGAACCCAATCAATAACCTTGAACTTGGCTGAAAACCACAAAACTAATATGTTGGTTTGGGCCTAGACCACATAAATCTTAGTGTGTGTGTAGACATATAAGTACTAAATCCAAAACTTTTTACAAGCCAATTTTGGACTTACCAAAACACAATGAAAATCTCTAATTACAGGTTTGCCAAAGTGGATATTTTGATCTATTAATAAGTAATTCTATCTCATCCTATCTCCAACCAAATACATACAGGACATGTCATTTTCTATAACATCCATCTAACCTAAAACCAATCAACCACTAGATAATAAGATTACTCATCTGAGAATGATTCAACTCAGAATAAATAATCTGAGAATAAGTAATTTTCTCTCATCTTGTCTGTGAACCAAAAGCACTATCCTACCATCCGCTAGATATAAGATGTTAGATGAGAATTTCCTCGTGACAACTTTTTGAGGTAGTACCGTAGTGTTGCAAATACGGCTGCAAGGGAAGTGAGTTAGCTTGCGAGCAAGGTTCAAGCTTGACTCAAGCTCGAGTCAGCTTAGTGAGTCTATCGAGTCGAACCGACTCGTGTATAGAGATACTTATTGCCTCTTTGATTCCATTTTAGATTTTTAATAAAATTTTTTTGTAGTGAAATTACATGCATGTTCCTATATTTCTATCGTTTACTAGAGTAAAATATTCATTTTTCTACTTTTTTTGCCCTCCCATCCCTCCCCATACCCGTCTGTCAGACATGGGATTCAGATCCTAAATTTGACCACAAAAAAAAAATTCTAAAAATGCTCTTCTAACCACAAGGAAAGACTCTAAGATCATATGTAATTATCTTTTTGTTTAGATTGATAAGACACGCACTTGATCTCAACTTTTTTGAAACTTGAATTTGAGTTTGAATCAAAATTTAGACTAAGAGCTTAATCAATTTTGGGTTCGAGTTCGAGTTTAGAAAAATAAAGTCAAGCTGGGCATGATATATTAAAGTTCAATTCAACTCGACTCATTTACAAGCTTAGTTGCTAACTAAGTTCATGGGCAAAATGAAAGATTAGTCAAATTGCAGGGGGTTGTTGGTGTAATCTTCCCAAATTGCATACCAACTGTAAGCGTTATAGGGTCTCCTAGATTGAAGAAACAATGCGGAGGTTAACTCTATCAATAAAAAATCATAAAAGTTTCTGGTAATAATCTTTACCTTGCCCAAAAGACCCATTCATTCACTTATTTATTTTACAGAAGACATAAGTTGTTTTCTTTAAATGGTTGGGCACATTTTCTTCTTTTTTTCTCAAGAAAGGGTGGACATGTAATAAAAGTATCAAGAAGTTCAAGGAAAACTCCCACTTTGGGTACCTTCAGCTACCTGTTGGTATTTGGGTACCCATAATATCAACTTAAACACATAATATTCTCCCGGAGTACATGTCATCTCAGGAAAAAGTTTTGGATATGTGGAATATCTTTTCTCCCAAAGTTTCTCTATAAATACGACAACAAACAAAGCTGGTTGCACAAGAAATGAGCAACAGTAATATGCATAATGCCAGTAATGAAGATACCTATACAATTTTTCTTGCATAAATTGTGCATCCGTGTATAGCATAGCAGTAGTATATGTCCTTTCATTTCATGCTTATTATCCTGAGCAGGTATGAAGAATTCCAACTAGTTCAGTTGTCCTGATCATCATGGCAGCCAAAGGGAACGACACCAAGAAACTACACACTAGCGATCGACAGTTGCAAGTTGCCGAGAATACCAGGAAACCAAGGATAAGATGGACTGCAGGGCTCCATAATTGCTTTGTTAAAGCTGTTGATCGACTCGGTGGACCATTTGGTGAGTATAAACATACAACTAGCAAAATGCTCTTCAATAGTCTTCAGTAATATAGTCAGACTTTTCATGTTTCTCGATGTTTCAAACCACGAACAGAAGCGACTCCAAAAGAAATCATGATGCAGATGGACATTCCTGAGGTTGCCACAAGCCATATAAAAAGCCATCTTCAGGTAAATGATTCTGGAGGTTTTATGTTAGATATCAGGCTTGGATAAGGGACCAAATTGTTACAAAGTTTATCACTTTCTTGATCTCCAGAAGTACAGGCTGAGAATGGGTTGCAATATTGGGACGGCAGCTGATAGCACAGTTGCAAGGAAAGGTAAGATTCCTGCCAAATAAGCCTATTCCTCAGCAGTTCATTAAGATAAAGCTAAGTTTTTTCGTCTTAATTGCGCAACAAGAGTCAACAACTGTTCAGAAAGTTCTTCATCATCTACTACACTTGATTTCTAGCCTTTGTTTGTTGTTTCGGTTTTCAGCTGCAACAAACACCATGATTGAAGCAGATGATAGTACAAGTCCTGCTGGGTGGCACACAAATGAGTAAGACCACCGAGCTTTATAAATTCTCTGCAATCCGTAATTCTTTTAAGAAAACGAAGAACGTTATTGATGGATTCTTTTTAACAGTATTAGGCATATATAGGTCAGGGATTTTCCATCTACAAATTCATTATTAAGAAGTTTGTTTTGCCAACTCCAGAGCCATCCAAATGATGCAAGCACAAAGGGCTAAGTTTGAAGGGAATAGAAAAATCTGCAAGGAGGAGAAGGTATATGTTTTATTGTAACTCAACGCAGTGAGGTTAAGGATTAATCTCTAGCCAAATACCGCTTTCAGATCTTGAATTCTATCTACACAGAATCATTTTAAACTTGAACTTCCAGCAAATAGAGCCTGGATTTGAAGATCTTGGACCAGCATAAATGTGACAAACAATAGATGTTAATTGAGAGGAAACTTCTTCATGAAATCTCCCCTACAGACAAAGTTGTTTAAAGGGAGTGACTGAGGGAAATTTGGATGATGCACATGCACAATTAAGCCACCTTTAAGTGCTTTCCAGGGAGAATCTAGATTGTCGATATATGGCTTTTTCAGCAGAAGAAACAGATATAGGAAATTTTTACCTTAATTAGTTAGATTATTAAGTTAATGTTCCAAAATTGATATTGTTTTTCTAATTTTAATGTTACTTATGACTTGTCCTAACCTTTTGAATTGCATTTATTGTAAGTGTATTGCTCATAAAAATTTCATTTTGGGTTAGATATTGAATTCAATGAAAATTGATCAAGTCATGTGCTTAAGCTTTAACTCTTATGTTTAACTTTCGTTTTTGTCAATTCAAAGAGCATAAATATTAGTCAATTTATTTCCAATATTATGTATTTAGATAATACTTTGTGATTGTTTACTTAATTAATTTACTGTAATTAACTTAAAGAATAAAATTGATCATCTAAAATTTAAAAGCATGTAGACCACTAGATGCAGTACATATGTAAGGAATGTAAGTCATGGGACACAAACGACTTTCATTACTTGTTTATTCTTGGTTTCTAAGTATCTCATATATAATATTCTTCAATCCTGTATATTTTCATACCTCTAAATGTCTCCATTTTTTCAACGCTATGAGCAAAATTTTTTAAACATTTCGTTTTTTTGGCTTTCAAAATGATTGTGTTAGACTAAATCCTAAACTTCATATAAACTAATAAATTTTAGGGATAATTGCAGAAACCTTCCCTGAGATTTCTGACATTTGCACTGACCTCCCCTCTAGGTTTAGAAATTGCATTCACCTCCCCTGAACAGTAACAATTTGTTGCAGAAACCTCCCTGACAGCTTTTGTAGAAGTGAGATAAGAAATTTCTTCCAATTTTGCCCTCTTCTTGCTTGACAATTATTATTTGCTTGACAATTGCTTAACTAATTATCTAATTAGTTAATAGTTAAACTAATTAACTATTAACTAATTATTTGATTAATTATTAACTAATTAACTAATTTCTATTTATCTAATTAACTAAAGCTATTGTCTGTCCGAAACTAACAAACTATTTGCATGTCAAACTATATGCAGTACGCATTACCTATTTAAAGTATCGGCTCTTTATGGGTATTTTACTTTCAAACATTTAATTTATGATAAAAACATCAATGTTTATAAGTAAAATTCAAAAAGTGTTACAGTAATATTCTTACAAAAGGGAGGGGCATAGGGCAATAAATTAAATATTTGAAATTAAGAATATTGATATTTTTTGTAACACTTTTTGAATTTTACTTACAAACATTGATATTTTTATCATAAATTAAATGTTTGAAAGTAAAATACCTATAAAGAGCCGATACTTCAAATAGGTAATGCATACTGTATAAAATTTAACATGCAAATAATTTGTTAATTAGTTAGTTAATTAATTAGTTAATTAGTTAAACAGTTAATTAGTTAATTAGTTTAACATACAAATAGTTTGTTAGTTTCAGACAGACAATAGCTTTAGTTAATTAGTTAATTAGATAAATAGAAATTAGTTAATTAATTAATTAGATAATTAGTTAGTTAATTAGTTAAGCAGTTAATTAGTTAATTAGTTTAACATACAAATAGTTTGTTAGTTTCGGATAGACAACAGCTTTAGTTAATTAGTTAATTAATTAATTAGATAATTAGTTAGTTAATTAGTTAAGTAGTTAATTATTTAATTAGTTTAACATGCAAATAGTTTGTTAGTTTCGGACAGACAATAGCTTTAGTTAATTAGTTAATTAGTTAAGTAGTTAATTAGTTAATTAGTTTAACATGCAAATAGTTTGTTAGTTTCGGATAGACAACAACTTTAGTTAATTAGTTAATTAGATAATTAGATAAATAAGAATTAGTTAATTAATTAATTGGATAATTAGTTAGTTAATTAGTTAATTAGTTTAACATGCAAATAGTTTATTAGTTTAGGATAGACAATAGCTTTAGTTAATTAGTTAATTAGTTAAGCAATTAATTAGTTAATTAGTTTAACATGCAAATAGTTTGTTAGTTTTGGATAGACAACAACTTTAGTTAATTAGATAATTAGTTAATTAGTTAATTAAATAAACAAAAATTAGTTAATTAGTTAATTAATTAATTAGATAATTAGGTAGTTAATTAGTTAAGCAGCTAATTAGTTAATTAGTTTAACATGCAAATAGTTTATTAGTTTCGGATAGACAACAGCTTTAGTTAATTAGTTAATTAGATAAATAGAGATTAGTTAATTAGATAAACAGAAATTAGTTAATTAATTAATTAGATAATTAGTTAATTAGATAATTAGTTAATAGTTAATTAGTTTAATTATGCAGAAATAGTTTGATTAGTTAATAACTGTTAACAATTAGATAATTGGTTAATTAGTTAATAGTTAAATAGATAATTAGTTATTAATTAATTAGATTATTAGTTATTTAGTTAATTAGTTAATTAGTTAAACTATGCATAGATAGTTAATTTAGTGTAATTTTTATTAACAAATGTTTTGTTGGGTTTGATGAAAGTACTCATCACATTCATTTGGTAAAATTAAATCATGTCAGGGGTACATTGGTAAATTGACCCACTTTTACCTATTAAATTGCCTCCAACTTTTGATAGGGGAGGTCAGTGCTATTTCAAAATTGATAGGGAAGGTCAATGCTATTACTATAAAAGTCACGGGAGGTTTCTGCAATTATCCCTAAATTTTAACTCCAACTTGTCCTCAAATCATTGGCAACCATTTTCAAAATAAAGAAATCACAAAATCAGCTATATTTTTCGACTCATAACTACATCTCTCGTTTGCTTTTTTTTTTTTTTTTAGGCAAATCTTTCCAAACATGTAAATTTAATTAAATTATGATCACAACAACATTCTTTAACTGTTGATCAATAATCTCAAGACTATTATTTTAAAAGCAATAAAATACTTATTAATCATATATTATAAAAATATTTATTCATTGAGATATAAATAAAACCAATCATATCGATCTCTATGAAGTCTATGAGAAAAAGAACATTACAAGAACTTCAATGTATTATTCGAAATCGACAATTGAAAAAAAGACCTATTTATAAAAAAAAAGGAAAATAAAAAACTCTTGACAAGGAACTTTTTCTTGTGAATGAAATTTTGCAAGGGCATTTCCAAATCCACTATTCATGACTAATGGACTTGTGTCACTACATCTCTATTCTAAATTCATTTCTAAAATCCATTTATTTTCCTTTATACATTTTCTTGATTCAGGATATACAAATGTACAAAAAACTTTCCAAATCTAAACTATCTTAGCCAGTTATTCATCAATGTGAATGTTTGCAGAATTTAGACAATGTGGAACAACATCAAGTACAATGTACTGGGGACAAAAACTTCCATACAAGCACCGGACATCAAAGAGGAAAAGGGAAAAAGAGAGCAGAAGATGAGGATGTTTTCCATTTGGAAAGACAAAATGGGCAGGAGAAGCAAAGTGATCATCATCACCAACGTCCATTATTCAACTTGAATGCTCCTGCTTTGGATGAACATGAGCCAGGCCGGGATTGTGAAATCAGCTTCCATCAGCCATTGTGAGAAAAGCACTATTAGTCTTTCTGGGAATAATCTATTTGAAAGGTATATGTGCTCTATTGTAATCCTTAGCTCAGGAAGCTGCAAAGAGATTAAAGAAGAAATTTGGACAAGGCAACAAACAGTATTTATTTGGATTAATCTCTTATATACTAATAGTGTAGTTATTTTTTTACTCTAGTAGTTATGGATGTATGTCACGTGTGCATGATTTGAATTTTAAATTTGAATTCGTGTTATGTGGTAATGATTTAAACCTATCAGTGTAAAAAAAAAAAATAAACTAACAGTGTATAAAAAACTTAGATCATGTTTGATAACCCAATTTAATACTTAAATTTAATGATTTCAGATCTTAACATGTTTAGACACGTTTGATAACCAAAAATAAAATATTTGATTAATTAAGTGGTACTAAATTTTCTAAATAAAACTTGCTCTGACAAATAAGTAATAAACTATTCACTTATCACCTAATGTGATATAAACTCAAATGTATCAGATTTAATACTTAACAATTCATCAACTTAACGGAAGAAAATGAAAGATCACATAACAATGATAACAGGTTCATCCAACCCTAGGTATAAAATCTAGCAAAACATGAAGAAAATAAAAACAAACACCAAACTTGTATTATAGCCAAATACAAGAATTAATACAAGAAATAAAGTACTAGGAGAGAATTCACTCTTGTCACCTGAGTTCTAAGTATCTCCATCTTCGTAGTCTACCTCATCCAAGTTTAGCTAGTAAAGTATAGATGAATTATATTACTCTATACTAAGTTAATGAACTAAGGAAATTCTAGTGAAGACTGCATTTTTTGAAATGTTTCTAGCCTTTCCAAAGTTACCCAAAATGGTTCCCAATAGGGCCTATTTATAGAGAAAATTTTCTATAAGTTACCAAAACTTCATCTTTCCTAAACACAAGAAAGTCTTCATCTCTAATATAAAAACTTGATAAAGAATCTCCAAAATGTCCACAAAAGTTGCTAAAAGTTTATTACAATTGGTGAAAGTTGTTAAATATTGATAAAAGTAATTGTCTTGAGATTTGAGTCTTGCTATCAAGTTGATTTTTCAACTCAAAAGTGAAAGGAAGAAAGATGCATCAAATTGGACAAGCTGCACAAGTTGTACAAGTTGCATAGCAGCATTTCTGAAGAGAATTGGACCTTGGATAAGAACCCATTTGGAGAATCATTTTCTTCTTTGATAAGAAATTCCAATCAATTTCAAAATCGTTCTGCCTCCAAACCGTGAGTCCAACCATTTCTAGTCAAGAACGGTTTCTTTCCTTACCGTTTAACACATAAAAATGGCTGAATCAATTTTAATAAGAAAATATGAAAGTTGTAGCCCTTGAACTAGCTTTCTATTAGCGCAAGAATTAGGTCATTTGAAGGTCTGGATGCTGAATGCTCAAAATATTGAGGACTGGTTAGAAAGCATCATAGCAGAAACTTACTTTAGTAATTCGGATATTTGGTTATGAGAATACAAGAACTGGACTTTGATGTCTCGCAAGAATTATAAAAGCATTGTCTTAATTTCAAAATGAATTAAGAATCGTATCTATCCAATCTTTATAGTTCAAGTTATTGCCAAAGTACCGAAATGTGTCATGTCTTCCAATCTTTCCTCTTCTTGTTTCTTCATTATATCATCATTTGTACTTCATGTCAACTTCAAATACACTTCAAATCATCAAGTTTCAAACAAATATTCCATGTGTAATTTCATTTGATGATTGAAACATTAAAACCTACAAAAACATGAAGTTTTTACTACTTAGCACAATAGAAATGCAACTTTCTTACAAAATACAACTTTTGACTATAAACCTAATTATTTAGTTCTAACTTAACCAAAAACACACCAAAACACACATGAATGACCATACAAAGGTACATAAACAATCTCTTATGAAGCTCTCCTACACTTAAGTCGTTGTTTGTCCTTAAACAATAAGAACTAAAATCCAAAACAATGATTCAATTGTTTGATATAACACGTGTACATTTTTAATTCAATTCCTCAAAACCAAGTAAACAACCATTATACAATTATTCATTTCATTCCAAGTACTTATATTATCAAGTAAGGGAGAGACTACTTTACCATAATTTTAACACATCATCTTAATTTTTCATCCTCACCTAATTTCACAAATAAGTGAGTCATATAGTCAATAAATAGCTTCCTAATCTTATGATCATCTTTTTCCAATCTAAAAGAGGGATTTATTCACATGTATACAAATGCCTATTCAAGTTGTGAAAGTGCTTTTTGACACAAGAATCAACATTTTTAGATGAAGATCCCCGGTTACTCAACAATTCACATACTTTAGTTGTTTAGTTGTTTACGTACTCTTAATTCAAGCACCATTTTTATATGAAAGTCGACATTTTTAGATAAAAACTTTGATTACTAAGTACAAGAATCATTGGAATAGAATAATACTTATTCACTCTCTTTTTTTCTTCTTTTCTTTTTCTTCTCTTTTCTTTTTTTTTTTTCAAAAGCAAAGATAATAAATAAACATTTCTCAAAAGAATAATCATAGGAATAGTGTTGCATTTATTAACCATATTTATCACTAAACTATGTAAAATCAAGTGAAGATGTGATGCCCCCACTTCTCCCAAGGGCGAACCCGAGGGTATCGGCGGGACGCCTGCCTAGCTCGCGTCAGGACTCGATACTCTAAAACTAGAAAATAGATTCACGCCCAAAAGAAAGTTCTGTTTAAACGATTACATCTTCAAAAGTTGCATAAACTAGTACATCAAGTCATACATACCACGAGTACCAGAAAGTAAACCTTAGAAAAGCTGATAACTACAACCACCACGATAAATATATACATCTTACTCGTCAACTTATAACAAGTACAAGTTCAACTCACCTATAATCAAAACACTAAACACCTGCCCGAGCGATCTCCGCGTCGGCCCCATGCTAAGGAAAACAAATAGAATGGGGTAAGTTATATGCTTAGTGAGTAATCAGGGGGAAAAATGTAAACTCACATAATTACACAAGTAAATCAGGATATTTTATATCAATGACAGAAAAGTAACATCACAATGGTAGGAAACGGGTGGCTCCAAAACCAGTTCAATTCCCCGAGCTTGAACGCCTGTTGACACTCCGTCAACCAAAGTACTCATGGTCCGTAGACTCCATTTAACTTTCCCCGTTCACCTTATCAACCCCAGCTGGCCAGTCAACAGCACATAGCAGCTCGAGCGAAACAAAATAATTTAGCTTTCGTCAAAACTTTAACAAGGAACTAAATCCCAAATTTAGCATGGAACTATCTTCGACCAAGCCCCAATTGGCTCGAATAGTTCGTCTAACCCTTGGTATCGGGATGGAACCAAGCCCCGAGATATCCGATCTCTCAATAGATGGTATCTCTCAATAGATGGTATCTCTCAACAAAGTACACAACAAAATACTTACCCCAAACAGCACACAGCAAATGGGGTTCAATTCAAGTCATGTAATCACCCCCATCAGCACACAGCAAAAAGGTGATACTCAAGTCATCTAATCACCCTCATCAGCACACAGCAAAAGGGTGATACTCAACATAAATCATGTATTCTCACATAGAAAATCAAAACAAAGGATGGGGTTAGGTCGAGTGAGATAAAGTACACTCTCGCCTAAGTACCCATTTAATATGTACAAAGCATTTTAACAATTTCACATCAATAACAACCCAATTACTCACTTGATAAAACTTGGCACGAAAACGATACAATTCACTGAGCTTGACCATCACCATCAAAAGCCTCACAATCTGTATTGACAGATTATATATACACATAAGTGAAACGGCCATACAATAGCAGTTTATAACTTAAACGATCGAATACGGTTGAAAACGGTGAAAAATAATAAAAAATGGTAAGAAATGACGTTAAGGCCAAAAGAATGTCGAAATTGGCCGAAACGGCCGGAATGGTAACAAAATAACAAAAGTAGACCTAAACGGTCCAAAAACGGTAAAAACGGTTGAGAAATGCACGTGCGCGTGCGTGAAAATGAAAATGGTACCAAACGAGTTACACGATTTGCCCATAACTGGAGCTGTGCTTATCGGATCAAAATGTACTAGATGGTGTCTCGAACCTTAGACAAAAGGTTACAACTTCCATGAAGATACCTCAACTCATTTTTCAGTGTATCCAAATTAAATTTGGAAAATACAAAACTAGAACTCCAAAGGCTAGTTTATCTTTCTCGTGAAAATTTGGCGGCATGTCCCTTGTGTTTATCTATTTTTCAACCATTTATAGCTTCAATATTTTCCTCAAATAGTCCCAGAGTCACACATAAAATAACCTCATTTCAATAGCCATTCTATAGCCTCAAAGTCATACAAATACAAAATTAAACTAGGTACATGTTCGGAAATGAAATGTAAGGCATAAATCAAAAGACAGATTTGCCGTCACTTAGCGTATCGGACACAACCGAAGCTACGCTTATCGGAGTAGGGTGAAATTTATACCGTTTCGAAGCTAAGACAAAGGCCTACAACTTTTATGAAGACTACTCAGTCCAGTTGGTAGTGTATCTAAGTCAAAATCTCAAATAACAGAACTAGAATCGGACATTCGGGCTAGTCAACCACACTATGCGTAAACGACAATAACTCAAGCTACCGAAGTCCAATCGAGGCGATTCTAGGGGAGTTGGAAATATAACACATAGAACTACAACTTTCATGTTTTGACTAGAAGCTAGTTCAGTACGTATCAAGATAAACAAATGCAACCAACTTAGTGTACTGTCAAAACTGTCCACCGACTTTACTCCTATGGCAGTCAGGGTATTTTCAATTTTTCATAGGCTACATTGGTCCGATTGAACTAAAATTTTGTAGTAAATCATAAAATATCATTCTCTACAACTTTCATGTTTTGTTCTAAGGCTAATTTGGCCTCTAACATAATGAACTAGAACCAGGCAGAACAGGGG